CTGAAAAAGTGGTGTCTATTTACTTGTGACCACTCAGTGTATATCAGATATATTATTTTTTCTTCTGTAAAATCCTACAAGTTCCTACCATTCATTTTAAATCTCAAATTATTTTTTCATAATGACTCGTAGCAAGAAAGGTGTGGAATTAGATTAATATTTTCATAGTTGTTAACAATTCTTATGACAGGAAAATAGGGCATTTTTGGAGTGTGAGGGAAAGAAAGTAGGGGGCTTGAGCCCACCTAACCGCCCCCTCTACCGTGCACGTCACTCTAATTCGTACCTTAAAATTAATTACAAATTCTATAAAAATAGATATTCAGAAAAAGAGAGGTACACTTAAGTTAGTAATCTTTATTGTTTATATTAGAATCAGAGTAAAAAGAGTTACATTTCAGTTATGTTGAGAATTGCAATATACGATAGCCAATGATATCCTTTTCTTCACATTAAATCCCGTGTTCCGCGTTCTGACCAAGTTAATCATTAGTGGTCATCCGACTGTCTTCATAGCCATTACTTAACGACAATCTACTGGTTGACTTTCCAATAATTTTCAAGACCACAATCTGCAGACTGATTTCTCCTTCAGTCTCCGTGATTACCTGAATACGTTGTGAAGTTAAAACTATGCCAAAGACATAGAATGATAAGTGTCTTGAAATAGGACAAATATTGGGGAACTTGGTTAAATTGCAGTGGCAAAAATAATCCCTACAAAGTACATACAGTATGTCACATTGAATGGCTCCAATTTCGTCGCCTACCTGATATGTTAATCATAAGGTAACCACTTTTTTTGTAGTAATGTTTTGTTCATATAGCTATTATTTACAATACTTGTAAGTGTATTTGAGGAAGAAATATAATGTAATGCTAATTTATGGATTAATAGCGTTCTAAATGAAAAACCAGGATACGGGTTTTGACGTAAGTTAAAGTTAACTGATAATACGATTACACTTGTTTAATATTGGTATTTCGTATTTTCAATGTGAATGACGCATTATGTGACATAATAACACTTATGGTTCAGTTCAGGTGTAGTTGTCGTTAATTCTGATCTACTGATCAGAAATTAGCCGAAAACACCGGCCGCAACTATAGCTCCATCTGGGTTTGAACCGAATAACTGGATTGACTGTCGTTCTTATAAAGGACTACGGCTGAAAATGTGAAAAGTGTTCGATAACATCGTGGTGCGAAATTTGAACCTTCAGATCCGTAGCTTTGTACACTAACCACTAAGACACATTAATTCGATCACTTTTTTAAAAATAGTCGTAGTATTAGGTGTTTATATATTTTCAAAAAAGAAATGCTTTTATTAATTTGTATATACCAGTTATATGTATGTTGTATTACACGCTTCAAACAAAATGATAACAAGCGAAATAACTTCTTTAATTCCTTACTGAAATCATACAAGATGCCGATTGCACGAACTATTTAAAACCGACGAATTGAGATATAAAATATGACAAGTTTTTTTAATATTTCATCTAAATGCAATTACAACGAAATAATGTTTACCGTAATCATCTATATTGTAAAAAAAATCTCAAGGTTTTATGATAAATTACATAAAAAATGTATGCGTAAACAAGCTTGAAAACCAATACATTTGGTCAGATCGTTCCAATTTGGCGTTACACTCTTAAGTGAATGTTTCTTTTTTTATTTCTTATTAGATTTGCTGACATCAACAAAAAATGAGTGTTTCTTTTTTATCTCTTACTATATTTTCTGGCATCAATAATCTTCTTTTGTGATTTCGCTAAAAAAAGCAAAAGTTTGAAGTTGCGATATAAAATTTGTCACAAACAAAGCATCAGCTAACAAGTTAGATTTGCAACCTAAATTGCGTTGAATTGACAGATAATTTTTCATTAAATTCACATATTTTAACAAAAATATATATGGCTGAACAGTTTTGTTTTTTGCTATTCATCATCTTCTTCCTCCTCCTCCTCCTCCTCTTCTTCTTCCTCTTCCTCTTCTGAATAGTACTCTGCCTCCACGTGTTGTGTACCTGGGGGTGCATGATAAGTAGGAGGCACGGCTAAGCTCGCGTGTTGTGTGACGTATTCGTTAAAATCCTTGACCCGACGGGTTGGTTTGGTAAACTCTTCATTAGTCCTCCGTTGTGTTTGAGGAGGGGGCCAAGCAATATCTTTTGACCGGCGGTTCGGAGTAGGAGATTGTGGGGCGAAAGGAGGAGGCCGAGAAGCTTCATCAGGGCTTGTGGGATTCCAAGTGGTAGCTATATTTCCCCTTGAAAAAGCAAGTGGTCGTGCGTCGTAATCATTGGATTTGGGAGGTGGCCAGATAAGTCTCTTCCCTTGGCCTGAAGAGTACAAGCATAAATTGCCATTAAAGGTTGTATTGTACCGCCATCTATTGGTTTGTAAAGAAAATTGGAGTAATACCAAAAGAGATTCTTCATTCAGATTCCAGGTAAACTTAACATTGTTGGACGTTTAGATTTACAATTACATGCAATTAAAGGACATTAACAATTCATTCCGTTTCACTTAGAACTCACAAAAGTTGTTTATAAATTTCATAGTACTTCCCTCCTACACTGTAAATAATATAGCATGTGAGTTTGTACCTTTCTCAGTTCTAATTCCTGCTTAGATTAAACACAAATTTAAAGATTTGGTATATTAATTTCTAGGAAAGAACATCTAGGTTTGACTTATGCTATTGAGTTTGCTTTTTACATTCGACCAATACAATATTTCACATTTGGGCGAGATTTTACATTTGAGCTAGAACTAACAGTTTTATAGTTTATTAACTTTTATTTCGTAATTAAACGCCGCCACTATTTGAATATATTTATAAATCTTTATATATATATATATATAAGCTTTAAATAGGTATGAAATCGTTATCTTCAACCTGAATAGCGTTATATGTGTACATGTGCTTTACGGTCAAGTTAGAGACCACCAGGGTTCAGACACAGCTGTCGCTCATTTGAAATACTGATCAAAGGAAGGTTACCAATAAGCAGTACCCAATGTTACAGAGGCCTTGTTTGCTTTTGGCCAGCTAAGAAATTGAATGCCACTCTCGTGATGCACTTACAGCTAGAAGTGCAGAGTATGTTCAGCGAAATCGCGACACAGGCTTTGGAATGAAACAGTAAATTTGGAATTTTATTAGATTTTAGTTATAATGTTTAAACTACATTTTAACAATATTTTGCATTAATGTTCTCACTTATTTAGATTATCTTGCATTGCTAGCTTAGTATATAGATTTAAGACTAACCTAAGTATTCTAAAGTTAATGAAACTTGGATATAACATGGGTTATGTCTAACATCATTGTTGACAGCGAGGAGGCCCCAACTGGCATTTTCAACCATTAAGCTTCTCCAATGGTACAGCGTAAGTCTACGGACTTATAACGCTATAAACCGGATTTCGATACCTGTGGTGGACACAACACAGATAGTCCAGTGTATGGATTTGTGCTTAACTACAAACAAACAAATAATCAATCAATCATTATAGATTTTACTTTTCCTCTGTACTGAATTCTTGTATTAAATACATCTAGTCAGTTTGTTATGTGGGATTCTTGTAATCAACTTACATTCAAAAGTGACATTACTTTTTATCAGTGATTTTTATTAATTAACATCAATAACGATTATTCTAAGTTCAATAACGTCAGCATGTTGTTCAATTCTGTATCATGTGTTCTTGTGTCAACTTCTCATTTTGAGACTGATACTTTATGTAACTAAATACATTAGTACTTTCTATAATAACTGAAAAACAATCTGTGAAATAAAATAGGTTTTACAATTATATTCTTGATTTCGCAAGTATATTATTTTCTAAAACATTGTATGTTTTAAAAAACGTGTTAAAAATTTTATATGTAGATGAATTAATCTTTATTTTAAATATGGCTATGATGTAATAAATATATCGAAAGAAACAATCAATTTTTTTATACAGAAATATGATTGATGCAATATCAATTTTTAAATATTTTGTGAGAAGTTTCAGTTGATTCCACGTGAAATAAAACGTACAACAAAATGTTTGAACAAACTTTTGTTACAATAAGCATATTTGAAAATATAAACTTGTTCCTTACTTTGTAAGTTTGTTTATTTGTAGTTAAGCGCAAAGATGTACAAAGGGTTATCTGTACTCTGCCCACCACGGATATCAAAACCCGATTTTTAGCGTTATGAATCCTCAGACTTGTCGCTGAACCAACGGAGGGCTACTTTGTAAATAGATTTCTAAGTTACATTAGTATGTGTTTGGAAAAAAATAATTAAAAACAAAACATATAAGTTACTATCTATACAGAGGGAAATCATTTTTTCAGATACATTTATTTGTGAAACCGTACCACAAAACATGTAAGTTACTATCTATTCAGAGGGAAATAATTCTTTTCAGATACATTTATTTGTGAAACAGTACCACAAAACATGTAAGTTACTATCTATACAGAGGGAAATCATTCTTTTCAGATACATTTATTTGTGAAACAGTACCACAAACATGTAAGTTACTATCTATACAGAGGGAAATCATTCTTTTCAGCTACATTTATTTGTGAAACAGTACGTCCTCGTTGCTCTGCATTAGTAGTTTCTATAACAATTTTGAGTAAATTCGAAAAATAGGCAATAAATAGTAGAACAAAGATAAAGTTCAAAAACAATCTGTAAAAATAAAATCGGTTTTAAAACTATATTCTTGATTTCGCAAGTATAATATTTTTTCCTAAAAACATTTTATGTTTTAAAAAATTAGCTAAAAGTTTTATAAGTAGGTGAATTAATCTTTATTTTAATCTAGAAAAATAGGTTGTTCCTCATGTCGTTCAGTTCTTTATTATTTAGGTTATGGAAATAAAAGATTGATATTTCATAGCTAGAACTATTGAAAATATAAGAAAGTAAAGCATAACGCATACACTCAAAGAAATTGAAATTAATTAAATACATCATGTTATGTTTGATTTTTTATTTCTCACCTTCCTGAGACCAGCCTGGTGAAAATCCAACTTTTGGAAGTTCCCGAACACTAGGATTCTACAAAATAACCAATAATTTAGTAATAGTTATCAACAAAACAAAGAGTGTGATTTACATTAGTCAAGTCTGTATATTTGAATGTATTAAAACGAGCAACTCAACATATTCTGAGAATAAAGACAATCATATAACAGATCACAATATTTAAGAAGACAAAACTGGGTGTCTTCGCATCAGGTAAGGTTGTAGCAGTTCTTAACGAAATGATGACGTTTCAAACTTTCATACGCTTATACGAATACTTGAATATGTAACCATTATTTCTAAGTATGGTTCACCTTTTTAATATTTACATAAATACGATCTAGAAGCTCATGAACCTTTCTAATGTATTTCATTAATACATTATTTGTTGTATTATTAAAAGTGATATATATATATATATATATATATATTTATAATAATAATAGAAGCTATACGATAACTATGACTAAGAGACAACTAAAAATTTTAAAAAATTAATAATTTGTCTGATTACGATA